ACCTGAAGTTCTGAACCTGGATGACTTGGAGCAGGCTGGCTGCACCTCTAGGAGAAAAGACACAGGAAGAGGAAAAGATGGCCAAGGAGCAAGTCAGGGTTGCCACTGTGAGGTTGCAGTTGTTCTGATGCAAAGAGACAAATGTTTAATCATCACTTCATCAATATTTTTCAATTTCCTGAATTATTTAGAAAGTATTCCAGCCAACAGGAAGTTGAAACTGGCTTTAGCTCTCCAGAAGTCAGGGCTCTACCTACCCCACTGCCCAACCCAGTATCTTTGACATAGGTAGTCAGTAAATATTTGTTAAATAAATGGAGGCTGTTTGCATTGAAGTAAGCAAAAACTGAACAAGAGGACCCTGACAAAACAGTTGAATAGGTTCATGGTTTTTCATGTGCAGCCCTTAGAACCTCTGCATTAGGATTGTTCGAATTACTTGCTAAAATGCAAGCTGCTAGGCCATGTTCTAGATATAGCAAATTAAAATCCTGGGTGTCAATCCAGCATGTTATTTCATGAAGTGCCTCTAGTGGGTTTCAATGTGTTCAAGTTAAAAGAAATAGTCTTTAGAGGGCAGGGAAAAGAAGATCAAACCCAGAGAAAAAAAGCATATCTTTAGGGGACAAAGCTTTTCAACATTTCAATGCCATTTGCACTTAGAAAAACGTGTATGTGTACCTGGGAGAAGATGGGAGCTAGATGTTACCAGCTCCACTTGGCCTCACTGGTTACCCAAGGCTGAGTATCAGTGTTTTGATATCCAGTAACCTATCTGTGACACTCAGAAGCTCTAGAAGCACAAGAAGTTAGAAAAAACAGTCGAAGAACTTCTGTGTTTTATCCATCAAGGCTCAAAACAGTGCACTGTTCCCATTGCTGACATTCAAGGAGAAAGAAAAATGACTTTTGGGTTTCCATATCTGGGTGGGCAAGGGAGTCCTTGCAGTTACAGTGCACAGGTGCAGGAAGCAAGAGGTGTTTGTGAAAAACAGGGTGAAGAAGCCACAAGGAAGTAGGAGGCATGTACACATAGTGCCAAAGGAAGGAAGAGAAGAGCTCAAAGAGTATCAGGGAAGGGCAAGAAGGAAGGAAAGAATGGAGACAGCTTTGCTTGCTAGATTAAAACAAACAGTTCTCATGGTTGTGGATTTCATCAATTCTGCTCACTCTGCTTTTAACAAACTAATTGTTTAGTAGTCTTAGGATCTCAACTGTCCACTTGAGTTGTAACAGGAACTAATAGTCACAGATCAAGCCACTTAGTGAGATGATGCCCTGGGAAAGGGTGTTCCTTCAAGAGCTGATGTTTTCAGGGTCTCTTTAGCTCATCCTAACTTGATATGTTTTTAATATACTGCTCTCTTGGTCACCATCTGTAGATATCCTCTCCGGCCATGTAGATGCCCTCAGTGCCATGTTAGTCTCAAGCTGCATTTTGCAACATCTCAATCCTTAGGGACTGTTTTGTGCAATCTGAAAACAGTCAGGTGGTTGTTCTTAAAATTGCTTAAATGACATTATTTTAGAAACATACCTGGTAAGTGGAGTCATGGGTCCTCTAATGACATTCAAATGCTAATTCCTGGAACCTTCAAGTGTACATGGGCAAGGAGAACTGTGTTCTCCAAGAGAACTAGGTTGTTAGTTGGCTGACCTTAAAGAGCGGACCCTGGGATTCAGGAGGGCTCACTTGAATCACTGGGATCCTTTAAATGTGTAAGAAGGAGGCAGAAGAGTCAGAGATGTGGGGTTGCTGTGCTGCTGACTTCAAAGATGGAGGAAGGGTCCAGAAGCTGAGGAATAGTCTTCAGGAGCTGGAAGAGGTGGGGAACTGTCCTCCTCTGCCTCCAGAGGGACTGCAGCCCTGCCACATCTTGACAGCCCACTGTAGACTACCGTCCTCTGCTGGAAGATGATGTGGGGCCACCCATGAGCTGCATTAAGCATTCTCTCTCAGCCTTGAGCCAAGGGGTGTTGGTCTGGCATTGCACTTGGACTGGGCTGTGCAATGCAGGTGGCCTCTACTTTCATTTGGCAGAGAGTCTTCTTCCTCTGGCTCTGGACCTGGGAATTACCATTGTGGCTAGGTAATTTCATCCTTGCCTTATTTGGTGAAGAACATCCTATCGAAACTCCTTTGTTAATTTCCCTATAAATAAAGGGATTCCAGGTGCACGCTCTCTCCAGTGTGGAAGCTGACCCTTCAGGTCCCACTCTTGATTTGAAAAATTTATATCTGTGCTGTGTGATTTTTCTCCGCCTTCTTAGCTTAATGTTGCAGCCAGTCCATTTAAACCCAGTTTGACTTGTCTGAGCGGGACAAGAGAAGATAATAGGTTTATGACTCTGGAAGTCACTGAATTAATGGCATTTTGTTAGAGCAGCAATAGGAATCTAATTAAATATCCAAGTATTATAGCCTTAATTTAAAAATATGTAAAAGTCTCATTCTCTGTTAGACTGTTATTGTACCAAGAACTATCCCATTATTCAGTCTTACTGCAAGTCTCTGCTTGACACTCAGGGTGCATAATAAACATTTACTGAATTCTAATCATCTCCTGTAGCAGATGGTCTCCCACCATTTCTTGGGAAAGTGTTTGACCATTCTTCAATGAAGGAAGTGTTTCCTTTGATGCTCACTACCCAAAAAAGCATCTCATATCCATTGCAGTCAATACCTGTGGGTCTTCTCCCTTAGTGACTTTTGATTTAGGGGACAAACTCATTTAAACTGAGTTGGTTTTCTCTGGCCCAGGTGTGTTAGTAAGTGGGACGTGGGTTCTGTGGCTTCTTAGGTCTCAGCTGCAGCTGCTCTGGAGCCAGACCACTTGACTGTCTGAGGACTCCATCCTCAACTTTTATGTCCTCGAAGCTTGTGTTGTAATACAGATCATCCCAAAATAGACTTGGCTTGTGGCAAAAATCTATAAAACTACTTACGATACATAAGCCAATTTGTAAACTATTTAGTTTTGTAGATTTGTGTTCAATTTTCTTATGTCTTTGGATGAAACTAATAGGATGATGGCAGTTTTAAACATGCTGTATGTGGGATGTGGCGTGTGCTGGGCCCTGTGCTGCTGTAACTTAGAGCAGCTGAAAGCAAGCGTGTATTAGGACACAGCTCGCATTGGTTAAGAACCAGAGCAATTGGGCTGGGTGGCTCTGCCCAGAGCCATCTCAGGAGTCTGCAGCCTTCTTGGGTCTTGATTGGTACAGAAACCACTCCTAAGTGTGAGTCGCATGGCTGTTGGCTGGTCCAGACAAGCTGGCCTTTGGTCCCTTAGGAGGCCTGTCCACAGGCTGCTGGTAGGTGGCAGGGGAGCCAGCATGCTGAGTGTGGACACTCACCATGGAGCCAAGGGCTGCTTAATTTCAGAAGCCACACCCCATCACTTGTGTCCTCTTCATTAGAAGCATATCATAGAGTCCAGCCCACATTCAGGGGAGTTGACATCAGGGCACCAGCATCAGGGCGGGGGCCATGGGAGCTGACCTAGTGGCTGACCACCACAGTGCATCAACTTATAACTTTCCCACCTGAAACGAAGTTCAATAACAGGGCTTGTGCAGCATGCCACAAACAGGTCTTCCATTTTAAATGACATGAAGTGAAAACGGAAGCCTTTGAGCTTTCAGACAGGAAATTCAGAACACGCTTGAGGATAACCATCACAGGCACTGGGACTGCGGCTCAGTGGCAGAGCACGTGCCTAACACATGAGGCACTGGGTTCAATCCTCAGCACCACATGAAAATAAAAATAAATAAATGGTTCTTTTTAGTTATACATAACATTGTGATTCATTTTTACTTAATTAAAAAAGCATGGAATATAATTTGCTCTAATTCATTCCCCAGTATTTCCCTATCCCTTCCCCCCCTACTCTATTGATCTTTCTGGTATTTACTTAATTTTTAAAATCAGTGTCTGGTGGATGTGCACGATGGTGAGATTCCCTGTAGTAGAGTCATATATGTACATATAGGAAAGTCAGTTCAGGTTCATTCCTCTGTTCTTCCCTTATCACCCCTGCCCATCTCCTTCATCTAGACCACTGATCTATCTTCTATTTTGATGGATTCTCTACCTTTTCCCCAACCCCACTAAATCTTAATAGTGCTTCTCAAACTTTTTGAGATTACAAACTAACCCACAAGTTGTTTGGCAGAAAGATCAAAAGAACCACCAACAACAACAAAAAAGATGTAGCAGAAGGCTGAGACTGTAGCTCAGTGGTAGAGTGCTTGCCTAGCATGGGTTGAAGCACTGGGTTTGATCCTCAACACCACATAAAAAAATAAAGTTATAAAAAATACATATATTAAAAATACTCATTTATAAAAAAAGATGTAGAGAGATTTAGCTGTGTGATGATTCTCATGTCTAAGCTCTTAGAACAGAACTCAGCCTTGGATTGTCTGTAGCTTTGTCTGTTACAACATGGCATCTTCATAGTGTTCCCAACATAGCAGTGGCTCTCAATGCTCATATTTCATAAATAAGAGTTAAATATAGGCCAATGTTCCTTATTACTCCTCATTAGAATCTAAACTGCTGATTGCCAAGGTGGCCCCTGCCTGGCAGCCAATATTTTTCAGGTTTCTGGTTTTGCCATTCTCTCAGTTTTCTTGCTTTTTTTTTTTTTGTTCTCTCTGCCTGAGGTATGTTACTTCATATCTACTGTTTTTATACAGAAGGAGATAAATAAGGGACCAGTGGATTGGTGACTTTTTATGGAATAAATGAAGGTGTAATTATGTTAATATAATAAGTGAATTGTATAATTATGTTAATGTATTAAGTGAATTATAGTAGGTAACAGTAGAAGAACAGGTTTGCATAAATTGTATTGATAAGTGTAAGTTTTTTAATGAAATAATTCTTTTTTTTTTGCCCCTTTAACAAGCATATTAGCCACAAATAATTCTTTGTAGTATTTAGCCCACTTGTTATTTAAATCCCAAGTCTTACCTCTTCTCTGTCTTTTCAGTGATTCTTTTCATGCACACCGAGAAAATATGCGGCAGATGATGAGGAGTTTCTCTCTTCCGTTTGGGAGAGACATGCTCAGTGTCTCTGAGTGTGGAGGGAGAGCTTGCGGCCACAGGGGATGGGACGACAACGAAGACTCCTTTACTGTGAGTTCCTTGCACTGGCTATGGGAAGTGTTGAGGCCATGTGTCTGGCACAGCTGCCAACTGCAGGGGCCCACCATGCCATCAGAGCCTGGAGGACCACAGGGTTGTGGTCACAAGCCGGAGTTGAACTTCTTATTTTCATAGACATACTTCTCACCTCAAAACCTCCTCCTATGTCTTAAATTAGAGCAAACCAGGAAAATTTCCTCCGTATACTCTCTAAAAAATCTTTTGACACATGGTGAAGCCTGTAGTATAAGTTTTATCTTATTGGACCAGGGAACAGTGACTTTCTGCAGGATACCTGTTCTAGAGGGCATGGTTAGCCTTCAGCCACATCTCGGAAACCTTGCCCAACACAGCATGTTCCCACGTCTCATCTGTGAGTAGGGCTGAAGGCTAAAACATTCTCTGCTCAAAAAGTTCAAGGACATTCATGGCTTCACTGTTTTCTCTTTTGCTGATTCTGCTTCTGTTGTATTTTCAGCCTTGGGAATGGTAGTTTTAGAGTAATAAATCCATAAGGGATTCTCTGCTGTTGCAATGTGGATCTCTGAAACTCAAGGAACATTGAATTGGCTAATGGGAAACCTCCAGAATCTTCCAGAAAAACATTTTTTTATTTTCTCTTTGCAGTAAGCTTATGTAGAGCAAAATATTTTAGACAGTCCTAAGAACATTACATTTGCCACTTAAAATGAAAATAGCTTTTACATTCTCTTTCATCAATATTATTGCCAAGCAACAACTCACAAATTTATTTTCTTTTAATTAGTGAGTGGTATTATCATTATATATATATAAAACATATATGAGACATTATATATATATAAGCATATATGACACATTTCATATATATATATTAGTGCTAGTCAGTTTACTTAAAAGTTTAACATCAGGGGAAAAATTTTCTAAAATGAATTATGGACATGAAAAATCATCAGAGCATTAAACGATTTTTTATGCCTGCTCTAACCATGGCAAGGAACGAATAGGCTACATGTAGCACTTTATATTTATGTGCATAAATTGGCTACTTGCAGCTTTTGATTCAGGAAGCAGGAGGTGGCAGTTTCATTGCCCTGCTTTGTAAGCACAGAGAGGAGACCTGTCTAATTCAGTTGAGATTTCCTGTTGAAGACACTTGTGCACACTAGCTATGGCTCTGCTGGTCATCCATTGAAAGCAGAGGTGAGCATTTCTTTCCTGGACACTTCTGTTTAAAGCACTGAATGTTTAATAGGAAGTAGAGTAAGAAATATATAATCAAGTAGAAAAATTTTATGAAACTACAGTTTATGAGTTTTATAATTTAGCCTATTATCATTTTACCATATTTCATATTACATTTGCCTTGAGAAAGTGGCCTTAAGTCAAGAAAAAACAGCAAAAGTATAAGATTGCATAATTGTGATTATCAAATAATAAAAGTCAAGTGGAAAAAGGAGAGTCAAGACTAATATTTGAATAAAAACTAAAATAACTGCTCCCTTATTGTCATAATTGGGCTAACATAACAAAATCCTTTGAACTGGGCAGCGTACAAACAACAGAAATTTACTTCTCACAGTTCCCAAGACTGGGAATTGCGGGATCAAAGTGTGAGCAGAATCTCTGATGAGCAAGCACTCTGCTTCATAGACACTGTGGAAGAATGGCAAACCTTCAGGCCTCTTCTGTAAACCTCCATTCTCCTTCTGAATGGCAGCATTGTGAATGTGCACGGTGCAGTATGGCAGCCCCTAGCCTCACATCTCCTGACCACTTGAAATGTGCCTCGTGTTCAAGCAGAATCAAAATTAAATAAAGGGGCTGGGGTTGTGGCTCAGTGGTAGAGCACTCGTCTAGCACATGCAAAGCCCTGGGTTCGATCCTCAGCACCACATTAATTAATTAATTAATTAATTAAATGGGTCCAACTACAACTAAAAAATAAATATTAAACAAAATTAGATAAAGGGGTAGTATCAAACTAAAAAGCCTTCTGTATAGCAAAGCCAACAAGTAACAAAGTGGTGAGAGAGCCCAGAGAATGGAAGAAAATATTTGCAAACCATATATTTGAAAAAAATTAAAATATATAAGGAACTCAAACAACTCAGTAGCAAGAAAACAAATAACCCTAATTAAAAATGGACAAAGGATCCGAACAGACATTTCTGAAAAAGACAGGCAGGGCTGGGTTTTGTAGCTCAGTGGAAGAGCGCTTTCCTAGCATGTGTGAGGCACTGGGTTTAATTTTCAGCACCACATTAATACAATAAAGGTCCACTGACAACTAAAAAATATTAAAAAAAGAAGATAGGCAAATGACCAATAGGTACATGAAGAAATTTTCAGCACCACTGATAATTAGAGAAGTACAAATTAAAACCACAATGAGCCAGGTGTGGTTGGCACATGCCTGTAATCCCATCAGCTCAGGAGGCTGAGGCAGGAGGATCGTGAGTTTAAGGCTAGCTTCAGCAATTTAGGTAGGCCCTAAGCAACTCAGCTAGACCCCTGTCTCTAAATCAAAACAAGAGCTGGGGTTGTGACTCAGTGGTTGAATGTTTCTGTGTTCAATCCTCAGTACAAAAAAAAAAAAAAAAAAAAGAAAAGAAAGAAAGAAAAACAACCACAGAGAGAGAGTGCCTCATCTATTAGAATGGTTTTTTAAAAAGATGAAAGATAAGGCTGGGTTTGTGGCTCAGTGGCAGAGCACTTGCCTTGAACTTGTAAGGCATTAGGTTTGATCTTCAATACCACATGAAAATAAATAAACAAAATATATTGTGTCCATGTATAACTAAAAAAGTATTTAAAAGAAAAAAGATGAAAGATAGTTAATGTTGAAGAGGATACAGAGAAAAGGGAATGCTTGTTGGTGAGAATGTAATTACAACAGAAAATGGGGTGGAGCATCCTCAAAGAACTAAAAAGAGAGCCCCCATGTGACTCAATGATCCCACTTCTGAGTATCCAGAGAAAATGAAATCAGGTGTCTAGGGGATGTCTGCACTGTGTATTTGTTGTAGCATTATGCCCAGTAGCCAAGAGAAGGAAAGGATTGTCTGTCAACAGGTCCATGCATAAAGAAAATGTGGTGTATATACACAATGGAATATAATTCAGCCTTCAGAAAGAGGGGGAAATCCTGTCATTTGTGAGAACATGGGTGAATCTGGAGGACATTATGCTAAATGAAAGAAACTAGACTCAGGAAACAAACAACCACCCAATCTCACTGGTAATTGGTTACAGGCAAGATTAACAGATCTTTATTTAAAAGTATAGAATAATTGAGCAAAGGAAAGATAATCATAATCATTATACCTTATGTTTTAATTAAGTCTGGTATAAAGTTGCATTTCCTTTGAGAAATGTGTACCTTAATCTATAGCACATAAATTTTCTTTCAACTGCCCTACCATAGAGTAATCATACTTCAAGTGACATATGGCCTCTCTCTTTGTCCGCCAGGCTCCTGTCGGGCTCAGTGATGAATATGACAGACAATTTAGAAATACATTTGAATAAAAAAAGAAAAAAAAGAAATACATTTGAGTCTTTTTTATTAAAAGTTTCTGTAATATTTGCAGCTCTGAGTAATGTGGTTGTTTAGTATGTTTTTATATTTTTTAGGGACTACTATAAATATCATGACCAAAATTAATATGACATTATCTTTCTAGGCAAGGAGTTCTCTCATGCCTTTCGGCAGTTTTGGCGGTTTGGTTCGTATCATGAGACATAAATAATTTTAGCAATTTTTTGACAAATATTTATTTTTCATGAACTTAGATTGAATTGGCATGTATCTCACTACTAATGCTTTTTCATAATGCTTTTTAGTATTTGTACTGAAACCTTTCCTTTCAAATTTTAAATTTGTCATAGTGTTTAGGCATGTGTCACATAAAGATACATAAAGTCAGTCTTTGGAAATAAAATATAGATTTTGATAGACTTAAGATTCACTTGCTTTGGCTCCTCACTTGTGTTAGAGAGTCGCGGGTCTTGACATGCTTGTGGTGACTTTCTAGAAGATGGGGAAGGAGTTTGGAAGAGCTCAGATTGGCTGCCCTCTTTAGGAGTTTGTGGCCAGCATGTCCAAGCTGCTTTTTCTTGCCTAGGCACACATATGGATGCTCTGCTTTTGTCATTTCTCCATGCCTGATTCTTTGGGCTTTGGTTCTGAGTCTGTTGCTAGTTTCCAGCATACCTAAAAGCATTCCAAGGAGTAGCATAGAGTACCTCAAATGTGGAACGTTTGTATCTGTTTTCTCTGGAAAAGTGTTTTTTATTCCTTTGTGCTAGATTTGAGCCATCATGGCACATATGACCTCTGTGTGCATGTATATAGTGTTATAGTTCCCTAATCATTTACCATTGTTGGGCATTTTTGCATATGCTTTAATTGCTTCCTTAACAAACCGCTCTCATTTTATAGTTTTAAAATTATTTTTGCCTGATTGCTGCATGAGATCCCATTAAGTGAACTGGGGAAAAGTTTTTCAGCTATTTGGGGAAGATTGGTTTGCTGTTTTGTGTGATACTTGGGGTGAATAACATGCTTCCTGATGTCCTGCAGCACGCCGATGGCAACCCTTTCCAGGCAATGAACCGAATGATGCAAAATATGGGAAACAATATGCAGGAGTTACAAAGGAATTTTGTAAGTACTAAAAATAGTGATAAGAACATCGACACCCTATGTTAGAGTGGCTGTTTGTTTATCTAGTATCAGGGATTGAACACAGAGTGCTGTACCACTGAGCCACTTTCCACTCTCCTTACTTTTTATTTCAAGACAGGGTCTAAGTTGCTGAGGTTGCCTTTGAACTTATAGTCTTCATAGTAATAGTAGCTTTTAAACATTTTTAACTCTTAGTCTGCAGTAGCCAAAAATGTCTTACATGATTAATCCATACACAGTACTTATATACTTTATTAATATACCTGAAACAAAAGTTTCATGAGGGCTAGGGTTGTAGATCAGTGGTAGAGTGCTTGCCTCACATGTGGAAGACACTGTGTTTGATCCTCAGCACCACGTAAAAATAAAATAAAGGTGTGTGTCCATCTACAACTAAAAAGAAAATTTTAAAAAGTTTCATGAGAAAATGATCATAATATTCATAGTGTGTATTGATATTTTCCATTTTATTCCATGTTTTAAAATTCCTGGTCATATTCCACTAAATTTATTTCACAACCTACAAGTGGGAAAAGTAACATTAGATAACTTTCATAATTAAAAAAAAAATCAACATTATTCTGAGTAACTAATATAATTAAACCTTTTATTTGAATTTATTTATTTGTCTTATTTATAACCTGTCTACTAAAAAATATCCATAACATTTAAGAAAGGAACTTGTTATATTAAAAAACTGAGAACAGAAACTTCAGGCATGATTTTAGGGGCTGGAGTCAGGCAGTCCAGGTGCTCATAAACCTGTTCGAGGGCACCTGCCCTTCTACCATATATTATGTGGAAAAGAAGTAATTTCTTCTGAAGAAGACTTGAGGCACACGATCTTTGGGTTTTTCAGGGTGCTCTGGGGCATCATCAGTCCTTTCCTAGTGTCTCGCACTGGTACCCATGCAGGGCGTCAAACTTCCTGGCCTATGTATGGTTGCCCATGTGGACAGGAGTGCATGGATGGTCAGCCACTGACTGGGATGTGTTTCGAGCTTCAAGGACACAGCATCTTTACTTAAATCTGAGCCAGAGAGACCCAAAGACTCAAGTGGACCACTTGTTCTTTGCAAGGAGAAAGGGAACTGGTATCAAAAAGTGAAGGATGTTAGTACTCCTGGGTGCCCTCTGGATAAACCATATTGGTCTTGTAGAAACCTTGGTAGAGTTGAGAGCTAGTCTTGTTACTTATTTGGACCCTTTGGCATTAATTCTTTCAATTTCACTAGACTCTGAATTTAATATTTCTTTTTGCCTCTAGGGTCAGCTTTCAATGGATCCAAATGGACATTCATTTTGTTCTTCTTCAGTGATGACATACTCCAAAGTAGGAGATGAGCCTCCCAAGGTTTTCCAGGCCTCCACTCAGACCCGGATGGCTCCGGGAGGAGTACGTATTGAGTCAGCCTTCTCAGAGCTGTATGCAGTGGGCTTGCGGGCTGGGGCTGTGGTGTCACTGGTAGCCAGTGCAGCTCGGCTGCATTCAGTTATGGTGCTTTGTTGGTGCCCCATGATGGTGACTCCCTTCTCCTGAGTGTCTGCTGATGTTTATTACCTTTGCATATTGACGAGGGACACTAAAAGAAGCCTTTGTGTCATGAATTACCTACTTTCAGTTTATTTGAAGTAAATGAATTTAACTAATGAAATATTTTAAGTTACAGAAAGGACATAAGATGGTTACCTTATTCCTGCCACCCCACTTAGTCAAACCACAGTGTTTCTCTCCTTTGCCTCAAGTTGTCTAAGTAAAAATGTTACATACACTTAAAGCTTCCAATGTAGTTAGTCCTCCAGAGGTCCCTTTCCTCTTTCTTCCTCCAAGAGATATCTGTTTTCTGGCTTGTCATTCTCATATGTGTTTTACAATTTTCTTATTTATGGAGGCATTATAGAATACAATGGGTTATTTTTTCAGGTTCCTGTACTTCCTGCATGTGGCATCATTGCTGCATGTGTGCTCTGCAGCTTCTGAGGTTATTAACTTGATACCCATAGCCTTGCTTTTTAAATTTCAACTTCTGTGTGTTCCTTCTCTTAGAAATGACCATGTTGCTATCCCACAGTGACCAAAACTGTTGGCTTCTACAAACTTTGGCATGGGAATTCCCATTTCTTTGTGTCCTTATTGGTACTGGTAATAAAACTTGAGGTTCACCAGACTCTACTGGAAGTGAGGTGGTTCATTCTGTAGTTCTTATACACACCTCGCCCTTTTGTGCTGCCCTTGCTGTGGTTCAGCACAAGCTTTATGCACATTTTGGTCTTCAATTGCTGAAAGCAGCATCATCTTCAATGTTAACAGTTGAATCGTGGCTGTCTCACAGCAATCATGTTGCTGTCTCTGGCTGTCATAAATAGTGTGCTGACCCTTCCATAGAGCTGAGAGCATCATCACCATGAGATTCAAGCCTGTCAGCCTGCCTGGGGAGTGAGTAGCAGCCTTATTTAGGTGGGCAGTGAACTAACTTCTGTTAAACTGCCAAAGACTAGGCCCTTGAAGGCATTGTACTTTACAGAATTGGAGCATCCTCTGTTTCAATATTTGGTTACAGTTTGGAAAAAGGTTAAATTGCATTGGTTCTGACTGTTCTGGGGTCTTCATTTTTAGCAGTTCAGGAAATATCAGAGACCAGATGCCAGTTTTATTGTCCCCTGGTAGGAGGGCCAGAACTGAGTGGTTACTGGGAACTTCTGGAGTATGACTCTGTGGCCCCATCTCCATAAGCTATGTGCCTCTGGAGATTTATGTCAAAGCCGTCTATTCTGTTTATATTTAAGTAATAACAAAATCATTTTCCCCCCTCATTTTTTGCAGATAAAGGAAACCAGGAGAGCAATGAGAGATACTGACAAGGGACTAGAAAAGATGGCTGTTGGCCATCATATCCACGACCGGGCTCACGTCATCAAAAAGTGCAAGAACAGCAAGACTGGGGATGAAGAGGTCAACCAGGAGTTCTTCAACATGTGTGAGAGTGAGTGGCCAGGCCGCCTCCGCCTCCCACAGGGAAGCAGCGCTGCATGTGCAGACTTGGCTTTCTCTGAACAGCACATCCTGAGCTGTGCTTCATGACCAGTGTGGAGTGAACACAATAGGACTGTGTCTCAGCCGTCAACGGCACATCTCTTTTACAGGGATTCTTGGCAATGTGGAGTCTCATTTATTTTTTTTGTCTTATAAAATGGACTTTTTGAATTATGTTTTAATAATATCAGTAGGCAAAACTAGTTTTTAGATATGTTTTATTATCAAGGAAGTACATTTGAAAAGGATGACGTAAAAATAAAAATCATCTACAACCCAACCCCATATAAGTGTCAGCTATGCTTTAGTGAATTCCTTCCAGCAATTTTATGGACATAAATGCACGCACATTTTTCAGGTTACATTTTACCACTTAGCTTATGTGTGTGTATCTGAACTCACCCACCCATCATGTTTTTTTCAAAAAACATCTCGGTAGTTACCTAAGTGTTAATCACAAATTCACCATCATTTACTTAAACCATTCTGCATTTTGAGCAGTTAGATCTAAAGATTTCAATTCCTGGTATATGCCATATAAAATATTATGCATATATATGAAGTAGATATTTTCATTTTCTTGATTTTATATTCATTCTTCAGTGCATTTAAGCCTTTCCAGTATCCTACCCTTTCTTATTAAAGTTTTTATTATATTTAAATGTATTAGCAATCAAATTTCGATTTTTGGTGGGGGGTACTGGGGATTGAACTTAGGGCACTTAACCACTGAACCACATCCCCAGCCCTATTTTGTCTTTAATTTAGAGACAGGGTCTTATTGAGTTGCTTAACACCTCGCTTTTCTGCTGAAATTGGCTTTAAACTGGAAGTCCTCCTGCCTCAGCCTCCTGAACCTCTGGGATTACAGGCCTGCACCACTGTGCCTGGCTAACAAATTTTAATTTTATTTTAGTCAATATTAATAATCCAGCTTTTGCATTTTAAAAGTGAAACTACTTAAACTTAATTGTATTCATCTCCTATTTTCAGAAAGTATTCTGAATGTTTTATAGTATAGGGTTTAAATAATTAAGTCATTTTAGAAAAAATTCTTTTGAGATAGTTTGATAAAGCCATTATTATGCAATAAGAGGGAAGCCTCCATATCTTGACCTTTTTGAAATTATAATCTTTGTAATTTTACCATTTAAATACACAGAGAATTTCACATAATCAACATGCTGGAGAAACTATAGTTCAGGAAAACACTACCCTGGAAGAACAGGAGCTGTGGGCTCTGCTGGAGGTTGTGGAGACTGGGTCACCTGCTCACACCAGAAGTTAAGAGCCAAGCTAGGAGCCTCTTAGGGGAAGGACAGCAGAGCAGAGAGGCCCTTGGATAGGAAGATAATAAACAGAAAGCTACCCTGGAGGCGGCAGGCCAGGGCTGGATGTCCAGGGAAGCCAGCCTTCAGCTAAGGGGAGAGGGTGGGGACTCCCTCTGAGGCCACATACCTGGCACAACCCTGGCCTCCTGGAGCCCACTGCCCCTGCTGTACACAGTACTGTCCTGTGCTCTGGTTTCAATGCAGGTGATGCACATGCCTTTGATGATGAGTGGCAAACTGAGGTCCTGAAGTACAACCCTGGGGGGCGGCCGCGCAAAGTGGAGAACACCAGGATGCGCAGCGTCGGTCACGAGAATGCAGGACCCCGGGAGGTGAAAAGAAGGTAAAGGCCATTTGCCCAGTGTGTTTTTAAGGGAAAGTTAGGCAGCTGTACCTCTTACCAGAAAGTTCTGACATCCAAGTTGTATGCACGGTATTGTTCCTAAAATATGTAAAAATTTCACATTATGTCTGAGTTTTCATTACAAATTTAACTTTGTATTTAAAAACCCTACTGTTTTAGCATTGTATGGTTAGTAATTCACCAGCAATCTACACTTCAGAAGACAGAGGCCAAAATCCTCCTAAGGAAAATTAATATACTGTAATGCAGTTGTTCTTGCAAAATGAATTCTAATCTAGATGTGGATAAAGTCCTATATGTCACAGGAGCTAAAGATATTTGCATCTAGAGGGATAATAAAAGGAGAGGGAGAGCTATATTTGGAAGATTAACTTCCCTAAAAGTTCAAAATTTAGTATTTATGGTAAATGAATTTTTAGACACATATAATATGTAAGACAGTATATGAAATACTACATTTTATGTATATTAGATATTTTGGAAGAATGTTGCAAAAAGTTTAGCCTTTCTTTGAATTATCCTTTGGAATAGCTGGGAAAAAATTATCCTTTGTGAAACCAGCACCATGCTTTGCCACTGTCTTCTGACATCTGTGCTTGAGTGATGTTAATAAAGATTTAAATAATTTATCTCAAATTTCATAAAGCATATATTAAAAGTTATAGATTTTAGTACATATTCTGGAGTTACCATGGAAGTTGGTTCTCTGGAGGAAACTGAAATGATACCCAATTCCTAGTTGAAATTACCCTGGAGAGAGCACGGCCTCCCCAGGCCTTCAAGCAGAATTCCTGTTGAGGGCTGTGTAGAAGGCAGAGGTTTCCTATGCCACAGGACAAGTGGTGTCCAGCCAACCAGAACCTTGTGCAGAATGTCAGGTGTCAGACCTCGTAAAGTACTTGCTCAGGAATTCAGAGCACTAGTTTTTTCTATTAAATGCTTAAATACTTGCTCTCATCTTAATTTTAGATAATATCTGTCCCACTTTAAAATTTGATGGTTAAAAATCAAGTAGTGCTAAGTTTGAATATGAAATCCAGGTCCCAATTAAAGAAGATAAACTCTTTATGGATGATTTATAGATCTGTGGCCCTAATCAGCAGCATTTTAACCAGTACTGCCCAATAGCATTGTCTAAAATGTTTTTCTACAGTGATGAAAATGTTATATATTTATACTGTGCAATATTATAACTATTAAACACATGTGTCTATTAAGTCACACTGGAATATAGCAGGCACTACGGAGGAGTTATTTTTAATTAAATATATATGTGGCTAGTGGCTGCATATTGAACCAGTACTGTTAAATTGCAAACACTTAGATCTTAGGTAAACGGCTATTGCTTTCTTAACTGTTCAATGAAGTACTGCTTTCTTAAGTTACAGTGGTTTTTAAACATGTTTGCAGTGACTCAAAAAACACTGAGCATTTTAAAAGTGGTATCAACATGCATGTATTCATTTCTCAGGGATAAATCTCATCATAGTCCAGCCCTTGAAAGTGGAAGAAAACCAAAAGTTTTTGGAGACAAACTCAACATCAAAGGATCACCTGTGAAAATCAACAAAAAATAAACAGCCATGCCCTTGACTCATTTTGTGTTGGTTGTTTTAATGACGTCGTGGTGCAGGGCAGTAAACGTGGGCCAGTCTCCTCTTGTGAAACCAGCACCATGCTTTGCCACTGTCTTCTGACATCTGTGCTTGAGTGATGTTAATAAAGATTTAAATAATTTATCTCAAATTTCATAATGTCAGCTAATTTTATAATGCCAGCTAGCATAAGGCTTTAAAAAGAATAATATAAACTAGTAGTGCTGCTATATAAGAAATCAGCTCTTATTTTGACAAAGGGAAAGAATAAATAGTTCATTAAAAAAAAAACTATTGTGGCTGATTGTGGTGACACATATATGTAATCTCAGAGGCTTGGGAGGCTTAGGCAGGAGGATTGCAAGTTCAAGGCTAGCCTTAGCCACTTAGTGAAGCTATCATGTCTCAAAAATTTTTAAAAAATACAGAAGGACTGGGGAAATAGTTTAGTGGTACAATGTCCCTGGTTTAGTCCTCAGTATACAAAAAAAAAAAATAAAGAAAATTTTAAAATTTAAATTACTAATGTACATGAGTATTGTATTCAGACATTATATTCTTTGCTTTGTTGTATGCTTACCCTTGACATTTCTGCTCTTTCCCACAAACAGTTGACTGTTTTACTCATCTGTTTTAGGCCTTTAGTCACTAAAATGCAAATGTGTTAATTCATTTTTATAGCTGAAATTAATTGGCATAATCCTACACATACTCTATTATACTAACATATTATAATAACATTCTAGAACATACTGGGAAGTTGTCAAAAGCCATAACTTTTCAAATAACACTCTTGCTAAATTGACTTAACAACAGAATCTCAATAGACACTTTCATTGTTCTCCTTTTGCCTAAATCATTACATTGATAACTTGAACAATTATGTTCAAATATGAAAACACATTTTAATAAACTATGCTTAATAGTATAATTTCTTCCCATTACATGGCAGAGAATTCACAGAACTTTGTTCCCCACTGCTATGGTTTGGATATGAGGTGTCCCCCAAAAGCTGACATATGAGACAATGCAAGAAGGTTCAGAGGAGAAATGGTTGGGTTGTGAGAGTCTAAACTGAATCAGTGAATTAATCCCCTTATAGGGATTAACTGAGTGATAACTGAAGTGGTGGGGTGTGGCTGGAGGTGGTGGGAATTAGGGCGTGACCCTGAGGTATATATTTGTATCTGGCAAGTGGAGTTCTCTGTCTGCTTCCACATCACTGTCATGTGAGCAGCTTCCCTTTGCCACGCTCTTCTGCCATGATGTTCAGCCTCACCTCAAGCCCTGAGGAATGGAGCTGGCCTTCTCTGGAATCAGACCTCTGAAACCATGAGCCCTCAAATAACCTTTTCTTCCCTTGCCGGTGTGCTGGTCAGATCCTTTAGTCACAACAGCAAAAAGAGCTGACTAAAACACAAATTACTTGCTATGAAAATAAAAATTGAAGTAAACCTATATTTCTTCTTAAGCCACAATGCTTTCTTAGAGGACATTTATAAAATGTGACATTTAGAAATCATCAATGTTCTGTATGTGGCCTCAGGTATATAAGATTTTTTTCAATGGTCCTACTTGGCCCCTAAAAAGAACCCAACTGTGGAAAATTTCTCATAGACAAAAGAGACAGACTGATCACCTGATGTATTTACACTTGTTCAAATATGAGACTTGCTAACAAAGTATTCAACAGTATGCTACAGGTGCATAATTATCTTTTATAGAAATTGTCTTTGACCACTAACATTTGAACTAAAATAAACTGATCTTTCTCCTTTCTGATTTTTAAAAAATTATTTGGTAGTTATAGGTGGACACAGTACTTTTATCTTATTTTTATGTGGTGCTGAAGATTGAACCCAGGGCCTCATGCGTGCTAGGCGAGTGCTCTTCCCATGAGCCCCAACCCCAGGCTCTTAACACTCATTTTTGTCTAGTGTAAATCATAAATGTAAAATGTCTTTTTATAAAAGCCATAACACTTGAGTAAGAATTTATTTAAGCTAACTTTTTGAGTTAATTTATATGCATTGTATGCTAGCTTAAATTGCTGAAAGTAGAGGCAGAAGTTTGCTTTAAAAATGCAGACACACAGGGCTGGGGCTGTATTTTTAAAGCAAACTTCTTTTGGTAGAGCTCTTGCCTAGCATGCATGAGGTACTGTTTTTGATCCTCATGCACCACAACATAAAATAAAGGCATGCTGTCCATCTACAATTACAATAACAAAAAGCCACAGTCTCAGTTCCCAAAAGCAGATGTCCCAAAGCCACTCTCCATCCCTTTGTGATCAATGGCAGAGACAGCCATGGAGGTTAACTGTTTCCTTGGTTTTAGTAGAATTAAAAAAAGCATTCTTGATTTTATTTAAAAAAAAAAAAGACTTCCTTGTTTCTACATTGATACAGAATTGTATTAATTTTTGATGAACCTTGAGACTTCAAAATCATCCTCTAAATCACTGGACTGCAGCATAAACGAGAAACACAAGATTCTGCCTATTCTACAGAGGCTATTGTTTATTCTGTGGAAGCTGAAATTATAAAATGTATGTGGGGGACATTCTACAAAACACCTGACTAGTGTGCCTGAAGACCATGGGGTCAGGAAACAATAGGAGGACTGCAGCTATAGAGACCAGAGATGGCACCTCCCTGGGGGAAGCCCTCTGATTCCCATAGGGCTGAGCCAGAAGTCTTTCCCTGCTTCTGCCCCCTTGGGAGGGGGTGCTTTTGTGGCACTTCCGGATTAAAGGACTCTTTCAGCACCCAGTCGATGATTGACAAAATGCAAAAGGAAAACAAAACACCGGGGAACCACTACTGATTTAAGGGTCAGATTCAGGACTGGGGCAGTGGCTCAGTGATAAAGAGTACTTGCCTAGCCTTCGTGAGGAGTTGGGTTCTTGAGGCCTTGAGAAAGGGCAGGCAGGGAAGGTGCCAGCGGGAAGCTGTCCAGTGTCCAGGAAGCCTCTCCAGGTTTTAAAAAATCTACTAGTTAAGGAAAACACTGAACTTGCACTAAAGCAGAGCAAAGAGCAACCCCGCATTCACTGGGCGGAGAAGTTTCAGCAGAGAGGCCTCTGCCCGCTTAAGAGGGCCATCAGTCACTGGGCCTTAGCCAGGGCAGAGGCGGGCACTCAGAGCCACAGGAGCGTCAGGAGGAAGGAGAGAGGACAAACAGGGCTGGTCCACAAGGAGGAGGGAGAGGAGACAGTGTTGGAGTACCAGGAGGAGAGAGAGGGGACAGTCAGGGCTGGGAGCAGCAGGGGGAGGGAGGGGGACAGTGTGGAGGGAGCCTCAGGAGGATTTCCTTCGTGCACCAGGAAGGCTGCTGGGAGGGTTTGAGACAGAATTTTGGACCTATCAGGCCACGTCCTTGGAGACGGGAGGTGGCACCTAAACTGCAGGTCGCCACCTTCCACCTGGTCTGGCGGCGCAGCTGACTACTCGGAGCAATGCAACCTTGTGAGATAAGAGCAGTAATCTGCAGTCGGTAATCGACCTCTTGCTCCAGGTTCTTGGGGCTCGACCACAGGCACGTTTCAGGCGCGCGGGAATCTATAACACTGCGCGAACCTCGTCGGCAATTTGGCATTCTTTTCACTTAAATTCTGTTATGAACACCTCCCCACGCCGGAATACAAACAGCCCTGTTTAAAGTCTTTGTCTTTCGCAGCCGTCCTGGTTCTACAGGAGAGCGCTCCCCGGGGCACTAGGCTCTGCGCTGGGGGGTGCACTTCCTCCTCCAGGCGGCAGAGGGCGCCGCCGCCCGTCCGCCGGAGGCTCCGCACCTAGCGCCTCCGTGCTTTCGCCCCGGAAGTGCTCTGCCGTGCAGCCGGCGTGATTCCGAGCCGGAGTGGCGGTGACTTCCTGCGGGAGCCGGTACTGAAGGACGGGGCTTAGGTTCACTAAGCATGCTGCTGGTGCGTACCGCCTCGGCTCTGTGCCGGCGAGGGAGGCAGGTACGTGCGGCGGGGTGTCAGCCTCGGTCCTCAGGAGGAGCCCGGGCTGCGATCCCTCGGTCCCCAGGAGCTGCCCAAGCCCCGCGCCTGAGCCGATCGTCTGCCTGGGTTATTGACTTGCGCTCCGCTGCAGGCGCTTCTCCGTGGTCGGTGTCCGCCAAGGTTCAGGTTGATACGCTAAAGCCTGTGGGGCCGGGCAGGCCCGGGCTCAGCCGGCCCTGTCCTTGCGTCTCGTGTCACTCGCTCTCTGTGGATCAGCAAGGCTGTCACCTTTTCCACGTCCTTTTGCTGCCTCCTTTGCAGAAGTGACTGCTGTGCACTTTTGGACGTGCAGTTCTGTAGGAAGAAGTTTGTTTTGGCCATGAAGTCCAGTGTCCCGCCCCTTGCTAGTGTAGTTTTAAAAATATTTCATTATTTTTTGTAGAGAAAATCTGGAGCCTTTGCCGGGCTGTCTTGAAGCTATTGCTTGGGATTGTAAATCCTCAAAATGCCCTTGCTGTGAGCCACAGTGAAGAGGAAGGAGAGAAAATTTATGGAAAATTTAAATTAAATTCTTTGTTTCGTATTTAAATAGTTTTAGGAGCTATTTTCTGATTTTATTTTAAGCAGCTCCAATGAATTTCCAAGCTAACATTTGGCAAAGGTATTTTTCTGTTTTAATTTAGCTAATTCTAAAGAGTATATGTTCTTTGCCTTCTTTTGTGGCTACTTCTTTGGTGTTGCAGGTTTAAACATTTCCCCTTCTGCCTCTCCAGGATTTCTTGTATTCACTGAAATTTTTTGGAGGAAAGATGCCCACCATTCTTTCATTTTAATTGCCTATTATCCTTCTAAAAAGTGCATTGAATTGAGCCCTTTCATTTCTTCAGGTTAATTGGAAGGCCTGCCGATGGTGTTCATCAGGGATAATTCCTAATGAAAAAATCCGAAACATCGGAATCTCCGCTCACATTGATTCTGGGAAGACCACGTTAACAGAGCGGGTGCTGTACTATACTGGCAGGATCGCAAAGATGCACGAGGTATGTGGTTCA